TATGCTTACGCAAACGCATTCTCGCACAGCTTCGTTGCAAATATGCTCAAGAGCTCAAACAAGGACCTCGTCTCGATGAATCCGGATGAGCAGCAGCTAGACGTCGAAGTAAGTCCAGAGTTGCGCGTCGCGTGGGTTTGAGTGTGGGACTTACACGCATAGCGCCTCTAGCTGGGACGACTTCGCGAGGAAAATCTCCGCGCAGGGCAGGACCATGCAGAGGGCCGCCGCAATGCTGGCACAGGCGGTGTCCAGGAAGAGGACGACGACGACGACGAAGCAGAACAGACTGTCGTAGTGAGTGTGGCGCACCAGAAACAGAAAAAGGAGGGTGCGCATTGACTCAAGTATCTGCTTTGGCTCACAGCGGGGAGGTAGAGCTGCGCACATTGATAGCGACGACTCAATGCTGAGTGCAGGCCCATCGGAAGTCCTTTCGCGCAGCTCAAGCCCGCCAAGGCGAGCTCCAGCAGCCAAGAAGACTACGACTTCCAGAGCGCCGACCAGGACTACCGTGCGCGCATCGCCAGCAGTTCGATCGCGCACAAACAAGGCTGTGTTTAGAGGTGGTGATGATGAGGATGAAGACGATGATGACTTGATCATCGATGAGGACAGGTCCGCTCCCGCTCCCAGCTCACGAGCTGCTGCTCTTGCCGCGTGAGTAAATGGGGCTGCAGAGCGAGGCGATGTCATGCAAAGCCACGCTGACATCGTCGTGCCATCTTGTGGAGCAGAGCGGGAACAAAAAAGGCACCTGCTAGGAAGACGCCTGCGGCGTCAAAGAAGAGTACAACGTCGTCCAAGACGGGCTCTAAAGCACCTCCCCGACAAAGTCAGCTGACATTCAGTCAAGCCGGACCCTCGACAGCCAAGAGGACCCCAGCTCGCGCGAGCACTGCTAGAAGAGGACGCTATGATGATGATGATGACGAGGAGGAGGACGAAGATGCAGCTTTCATCAATGACAGCGAAGATGATGCTGTTCCTGCTTCAAATGGCAAACGAGCGCCAACTCGTCGTTAGGAAGATCAGAACGAGCTCCAGGCCGCGTGCTTGCACATCCCGTCAGCCGCTCTTGGCACCCGTTAGCAGAACACACGATCTTGCGCTCAACACATTTGTGCTTCCTCTCACGCATCGATGATGTGGGGCGGCGTGTACTACTAGCGACGTGTGGTACTAGACGTTTTGGAAGGGAGCGGGAGCAGAGGGTGATTTGAGGTTTTCGCGAGCGCAGCGCGAAGCGGATAACATGCATGGGTGGATCTAGACTTGGGAAGGCGCAAAAGGGGATGGTGTGTAAGGCTTGGACAGAGGGGCTGGTGACATCGAACGAGAAGCTGGATCGCGACGGCAAGAGGCAGAAAGGCCAAGGCAAAGGTCGCATGAGCTTTGCTGCATACGTCGCTGGCGATTGTACTCAAAGCGAAGAGACGCGCGAGCGCGCGTTTACTGCATTGAAGTATCGCCGTTGGGTGCAGGGGCCGCAAAGGAGAAGCCGCCGGTAGGAGCGGCAGCGACATTGGACTGGAAGGCAAAGCTTCCTGTCTCATCCACTTGTGCAGGTGCCAAGCCTCCATCCTCATTCTCATCCTCATCTGGGAAGTACTTGTCCATGATAAAGACTGCAAGTCAAGTAGAGAGCCGCGTGAGCTAGTAGTCATGAAGGGCACACGCCGTAGAAGATACTCACAGCACTTTTTGTAAATCTCCAAATTCTCGTGGTGTTGAAGATTGTGAATGGTCACCATGCCACCGCACTCCTCAATGTAGAGTGCATACTGGTTGACCGCGCCGGCTCCGTTCGCAGTCTTGTCCTGCTCTCCGACCTTCAAAATGTTCTCCAAGCCATCCAAGGCAACTTGAATGATCTTGTTGTCGAGACTCTTCAGCAGGTCGCAAAGCGGCCTGATGCATCCTTGGGAGACCAAGTACCGAATCTGGGCAGGCTCTTGCAAGCCACCGGAGGTAGCGTTCGAGATCGCCCAGCACGCCTCCTTTTTGGTCTTAAAGTCAGCATGGACAAGGATCTGGATGAGAGGAGGGATAATGTTCGCGTCGATGACGGCCTGGATCTGCTGGCTCGAGCCAGCGGTGATGTTGGAGATGGTCCAGCAAGCTTCCTTCTTGATGCCGTCCTTTGCACTGCTCAAGAGAGACAGCAGAGGAGGCAAAGCGCCGCTAGCGATTATGACCTGTGTCTGCATGTCGTCACCGGTGACAATGTTGCCAACGGATCGTAGGGCGGGTGTTTGCACAGCGGTGGAAGAGTGGGTCAACAGATCCACTAGTCTGCGACACAGACCGGACTCGATGACAGCCTGAATCTTCTCATTCGCGCCGTCCGAGAGGTACGAGATAGCCCAGCATGCATCTATCAAGACTTCGTCGTCTTGAGAGTAGATGAGCTTCGTGAGGATGGTCAGGGCAGGAGAGACCTGTCGGTGTGCGAAAAGGTGAGAGGTGAGCTGATTGCCCTGCGGACCCATAAGGCCTTGCACCATCTACTCACGAGTTGCCAGTCGGGCTGAGGGCTCTTGCCACGGCAGAAGTTGCT